AGGAGCGCTACCTGATGATGTTCCAGGTCCCCGGATTCCGCCTTCCCTTGGTGACCGGGCAGCACCTCGCAAGCTTAAGGGAACTCCGAGGTCCAGGGGGAGCGCTACCTGATGACGTTCCAGGTCCCTGGATCTTGAAAAACCTCGAGGTAAGGTATTGTACAATTCAGGAGGTTAAGGGGTGCCCCGATTTCTGGTGTGGTGGACTGTGGGAGGTCTGACAAGACAATAACTCCCTGCCACCGGCACGCGTGAGACGCCACTGCGTTGCCCTGGGTAAAAGGTTGGAATAGGCTGGCTTTCTTTTCAACCCACCAGGTTGAGTGTGCGGGTGATTATTGAGATTACTGACGAACAAGCCTAAGACCTTTATTTAGGGTTAAACACAACTTACAGAGCTTCCGAGCCCAGAGCAGCCCCTGCCCTGCCTGGGCAGCACAAGGCGCCCAGCAACCCAACCAGCCAATCAGGCAGGTGATCTCGCGCGAGGCCGTTCAATGAGCTGCCTGGTCACGTGCTGGCCGCGTGGCTGCATCCCAAACCCTCAACAGTCTCCCCAAGGGACTATATGGGGATAAGTCGAGGTCGTCATTCCTTTTCCCAGCACCCTCTTTTGGCTTCCCTTTGCTGCCCTCCCTGGGCATCCATGTCAGGGTCATCACCCCTTTTGTTCCCCACTGTCCCACAGTACTCACCAGTGAGATTTCAATGGTCCTTTCCGTCAGACCTGGCCCGCCTACACCCAACTCCCTGCCTCCCTCCATCTGTTCTCACCTAAGGTCACCTGACTCCTTGTCCCCCTTGCTGAAGAATGTGGGGGAATTCCCCTATTTCCCTCCTTTGTAAAGGCCCCCACCTCTTGGCAGATGCTCTTTTGTCCCACTCACTCATGGCTCCGCTCAGTCTCCCCCCTCCCTTTGTCCTGCTCTTCAGCCAGACTGTGGGGGAATCCCCTTATTGGTGAATACACAAACTTGAGCATTCTGCTCAGTTCCATGCAGGAGACCTTTGTGCTTATCACCAATCATCCAAATGTAGTTTCTTTCTGGATATATTCTATTACTTCTGGGGTACTGGGATGCTAAGTT